TCCCTAGTTATTTAAAGATCTATCATTTAATCCATTAGCATTTCCATTTATTGCATGTATTTTACCTTGCATCTGAATTTTTACATTTGTTATTTGTTTTAAATATTTGTTAGAATTGGGGTATTATATTTATTGATGAACTTTTCTAGAAAACTTATTAAATGCACTTCTTAGTTCAAGAACATTGATTAGATTCACCTTAATAGCCACATATTCTGCATAAATACAATCTATCTACCTTATATTTCTATTTCATGATTTCCCCCATAATCAGATTAGTACCCTAGTACTAGAAGTACGATGAGAACTTCCACTCCTACCTCAATATTTATCCTATAACCTTCTCTATTCCATCATCTATGATGCATGAAATTTTCTTTCTTTCTCTCTTTCTTTCTTTCTTTCTTCCTTTCTTTTTTTTGGTTTTTCAAGACAGGGTTTCTCTGTGTAGCTTTGGAGCCTATCCTGGCACTCGCTCTGGAGACCAGGCTGGCCTGGAACTCACAGAGATCCACCTGCCTCTGCCTCCCTAGTGCTGGGATTAAAGGCATGCGCCACCAACGCCTGGCCATGAAATTTTCTCCTCACCTCCCATTTCCTTCCTGTCTGTTAATACAAAACAATCAGGCTTCTATACTAAACAAGAAAAGAATATAAATAACTCTTAACACTTTGGAATTGAATAAAATATACAAACAGAAGGAAAACAGCCCAAGAGAAGTTACAAGAAACAGAGACCCACTCATTCACACATCAGAAATCCCATTAAAATGCTAAACTAGAAGCCATAATATATACAGAATATGTGTGTATGTGTATATATGTACAGAATATATATATTGAGTTCAGGGAAGCTGCAGCTCCTAATTTTTAATGTTTGAGACAGCATGAGCAAGTCCTATGCAATCTCAAGCCAAATAAAATCCCAGTAACAAGAGGGGACTCAAGCTGGAACCCCCATCACTGGCTAAGTAGATCCTGGAATATGATAGCTGCTGATAGCTGTTAAGTGTGGAAACTTCGGTTGGTTGACCATCCTCCAGTGATGGTCCACGGATCCAAGAGTATATAGGAAGCACAAATTGGTTTGGTGGATTAAAATAAATTAATAGAATGCAGCTGAGTGGGTTGGAAAATAGAGGTAGATCTGGGAAGAGTGCAGGGAGGACAGGGGTGAAAATGAACAAAATATTTTGTACTAAATTCTAAAAGAACAAATAAAAAAAACAGACAAATGCACTCCATTAAAAAAAAACTAGTTATCCTATGGTGTTATATGAACCTTGAGAAAAAATGTTTTTGAGGAAACTTTAATTATAAATTCAACATCTTTACAACTGTTGTAGTATATATGAGTAATGTAATACATAATGTAATAGGTATTTTAATCAGATTTTCAGTAGTTTGTGACTATTGACAGTTACACATCACACACATCACACACACTAATAAAATCCTCCCAATCAGGATTTTATTAGTTTTTCATATACTGATTTTTGAATGAATACAACTTTAAAAATAATTTGATAATTACATTTTTTTTTTGGTTTTTCAAGACAGGGTTTCTCTGTAGCTTTGGAGGCTGTCCTGGAACTAGCTCTTGTAGACCAGGCTGGTCTCGAACTCACAGAGATCTGCCTGCCTCTGCCTCCTGAGTGCTGGGATTAAAGGCATGCGCCACCACCACCTGCGATAATTACATTTTAAAGATTGGGCTACTAGGACAAAAATAAAATAATTTAGAAAGGTTCTCTTTAAGTAAACATATGGTACTCCCATTTAAACCTAGAAGTCATACTTAGATAGTCTGTGTCTGTAACCTCTACTCCTTTACATGCAACATTAAGAAAAAAAGTATTAAAACTAGAAGCTGAACTACAAAATAACATGCCAATATGCATTTGATCACCTGACCAGATCTATGTGTAAGTAACCCAAATCTCTTTCTTAGCTTGGGTTGTCAACTGCATTTATCTTCCCTTACTTGTGGCATCAATATCCTACTCCCCATCTCCATTGTAGTAGTTGTTCACCCTATGTTCTTTACTTTCTTTTTCTTATCTCATAAGTCAAATGAGAGTGGCAGGTGAGTTATGGTAAATCAAAGGTTAATTAAAGGGATTTTCCTTTTATGATACACATTTCTGCACATATAAGACTTTTACTACTATTATAGTATAATAAGGCAAGGGAAGCACTGAATATACAAGATTCTGGACATGGAATGTGTAATGAAAACTGTATAAATGAAATAAATATTGTATTAATGAAAAACATGGCCATAAAAAGAGAGAGATTTCATCACAATGTAACTGTCACTGTATAGCCAGAGATAATTGTGATCAGTGCATCACTCATAATTTACTTCACTGGGCAATTATGGCTAATACAGTTCTAATTGTGGTAGACAACTGATTTGCTAATGTAAAGGCACTGAAAGTGCAGAGACACAGTGAAATCCTACCATATTCTCTGTAGTTCTTTAAGAAAGTTGCTAATGCCCTAACAAAACTTCAGTGAGATTATTTTACAATACATTACAGATGTGGAAATTGAAGTTTTGAGAGAAAAAAAAAAAAAACATCTCCCAGAGCATCACTTAACTTCCATGTGAAAGAGGTGTGCCACAGATTTCACATTTGTAATTTCCTTCCTAGAATGACTACAAAGTTTACCACCCAGCATAGACCTATTTGAATGAAAGTTACAGTTGCAATAACCACACAAGAAAATATGTATAAACCAAGATTTCCAGAAACAAATGGGATATCCATCAATCTAAATTCTCCTCTGAACCTTGATTTTTGTTTAGTAATCATTTTTTTTTTTTTGGTTTTTCAAGACAGGGCCTTGATTTTTGTTTAGTAATCATTTTGAAACATTGTATTTGATTTCAGAATGTTCTTTCACATTTATCATTGGTATATCTATTTTCCTCTTTTAGTTTTCTTTAAATTTATTTTTGCTTTATTTTTTGCTTTTATGTTTGCTTTTAGACAATGTGTCACCAGATAGCTCAAACCACCTAGAACTCATTATGTGGGCCAGCCTGGCCACTGACTCTTGGATATCAAGCCTCAGCCTTCAGATTCAAGCAATGCTTGTTTTTGTCCCCACATGAGTTAGGTATGTAATAATTTTTAATGTTCATAGTTAGCTTATATTAAAACTGAATACTTTTAGAAAGTTTTAAAAATTACAATAAAGACAATTTAAATATGCCTAAGATTATTTATTGAAAAGACTGGAAAGGAAACAGGTTGAAAAGGAAACAGGTTCTCAAAGAATTAATAGTAAGTCCAATTCCACAAACTATTTTGTATGCATTATTGATGTGCATTTTCAACTCAATATTGAACTTCTATAATATTTGAAATACAATTGGAAGGCACAGAGAACTCATGAGTCAAATTCAAGTGAAATGAGTACCACATAATGCATAGAATAAATAAAAGAATAAAATTTCTTTAGTCCATGTAGATTCATTCAAAAATATATCATTTTTTTGTAGCATGATCCAAAGATGAAAAATTTGTTGCATTTCCAGTCTCAGTCAATTCTGTGAAAGAAAGGATGTAGAATCAGTTTTGTTTGTTAAATCAGTGGATCTCAACCTTCCTAATGCCGTGACCCTTTAATACAGTCCCTCAGGTTGTGGTGACCCCCAATCATAAAATTATTTCATTGCTACTTCATAACTATGATGTTGCTACTATTATAAATTGTAATGAAAATATCTGATATACAGGATATCTGAAATGTGATTCTTGAGTAAGGGCCTTTTATTCACAATAGGGTCATGACCCACTTGTTGAGAACCATGGATTTATATCCATTCACCTCTCACCATTTGTAGTATATAAAAAAGGGCAATTGTTCTACAAAGGTACACTAGGTTTTTTCCTTAGAGGCATATAACTTCTATTCAGTGGCATACAAGCTCACAAGAAATTGTTGCAAAAGGTTTATCCTGTTTTCAATCCTAAGTGGTTTTGTAGTTTAGAATCCCAAAGCTATATTCTCTGCTCTATTGTTCCTTTTTAATAACCAGGCTGAGTAATTTTCTTTTGAATCATGAATTAAAAAATAATTTTAAATTCAGTAAACATAAAATTTATGAAACATAAGGTACTCATTGAGATGAAAATTGTCCTGTAACAAAGGCTACAATGCATTCACATAAAACATAAGAAAATTTCATTTCTGAGTTTCTTATAACTGATGACATAATCTGTAAAGATAAAAGCTTTTGGAATAAGACAGATCTATGTCAATGGCAAGCAAATAAAATTAAAAGTTCCTTGAAATTTAAGCTATGCTTATTGTGATGGTGGTAAGAAGCTGTCAATCAGTGAGAAAACAGTGATAAGTTAATACTGTGATGAAATTTGCTACTCTGCTGTTTACATTGGAGGATGAAATATAAAAATATATCAATTATCAAATATATCAAACATAGTCATTCTAATCATCAATTTCCAGGAACTTACCAAAAATGAGGACGGGGTATTAACCTGGAAATCCTCTTAGACCTTAAATGCAAACAAATAAAAATAAATAAGTATACATTTTCCCTCTTAGTGTAACACCTATTTAAACTGGGTTCTGTGTAACTAATGAACAACTCGGTCTTTGACTCCATGTATATTTACTCAAAAGAAAAAAATAAACTGCAATATGTGAATAGTATATATTCACAAAGAAATTTTAGAACACTGCGAAAGAAACTTTGTTTCTCAAATCTGATAAATTGCCAAGTTTAACTGTGGTTTAGTCAACCTTAGTACTCTTTAAGTCAGAATTCCCAGTTGACCAGTTAAATCAGCCTTCTTATAATATTTCCAACCGGCCATTAACTTTTGTCTTGACAATTGTAACACTTGTATCAAAATCTGTAAGGTACTAGGCACTGGAAATTATGTTGAAGTGAAGATCTCCAGGTGATTCTAGTTTATAGTTCATATTGAAGATCATCAGTTTATTAAAGAATCACATATCTATTATTCCATTCTAGAGGGCGCATTTCTTCTATTAACTTCATCAAACACACATTTCGAGGGGAATTTAAAAGGAAGCAAATTTAGACTTACAGTGATGGGATGAGCTGGTTCCTGGGCAGGGGAATGCAGGGTGGGCTTAAGCAGAAGGTCTGGGAACTGCAGAGGAGTTTGGGAAGACATATCTTTTTGAAGGAAGGGTGTTACTTGCTGGAGAAGGTACAGAACTTTGGACTGAGGAAGAGACAGCTGGGTCTGAGAAGAAGCCACAGGAGTCTGAAGGAAAGCCTGCAGGACTTGTGCCAGGAGCTGGACCTGAGACTGAGGGATGTGCTGGTTTGCAAGGGTAGCAGAACTGAGGACTTGAGGGTTAAAAAGAGAGAGCACAGTTTCGGGGTTAAGAGAGTGTATGGCTTTTTGCTTGGAAAGAATGGCGGCTTTAGCTTTTAGGAAGGCTTCCACTTCAGGAGAAATGACAGGCCCAAGAGAAGGCACCACAGAGGCTTGAGCAATAGGCTGGGCGTTTTGTGCAAGGGGAGTGCAAGAGATAGGCTGTTCGTAAGGAAAGCCCTGAGGCTGTGATTGGATGAAGGGGTGAACGTTATTCTGGAGCACACCCTAGAAAGAAGAGAACCTTTCAATCCACAGTTCAGCAACATTATTTTTCTCAATTTATTAATAATATTTTAGCCAATGATAATCGGCCAAATGAATTGATTTGCTTAAGAAACTATCTTGTTTTATTTGATTAAAAGACTGCCTTGGCCTAGCTGAGTATGTTGTCTGATGCCTCTAAATCTATCAGTTGGTGCTTGAGGCAGGAGGATTGCTATAGGCCAACCTAAGCTAAATAGTGCATTCTAGGCACGCCTGGGATACACAGTAAGAAGTGATCTCAACTTATTCTTGAAAGATACACAAAATAAGAAGACATTCTCTTGGGTCACACTAAGAAAATAAGTAAAGTGTTCTTAAAGATTTCACCCTTACCTATTCTACTGGTAGAAAAATTATGGTGCAAAATGAAATTGATGTTCAGATTTTTTTAGAATCTTTTCATTTTTTCCCAAGCTACCTCTACATCTGTAGTTATGTATTCTTAGGTATGAAAACGCATTGATTTCTCAACTTTTGTAGATTGATAATAGAACTCATTGTTCATGTATAGTTGAAGGCAAATTAATTTTAAAATGTTTACTGGGACAATACTAAAATTTATTTTATTTGGTTTTAAGGAAAAATCAGCCTTAATCTGTGCTAAATTCTGCCAGCCACTTAATATTGGTCAACTTATAGAAAGGTTTCTCTTTGAAAAAATAGTTTTCTTAAACTTTTCAAGATGTATCAATTTTTAAAATTTTAATTTGACTTGAAAAATGTGAGCAACAAGCAATTTACTGAGGAAAACAAACTATCAAAGTTCAACTATTATGTAAGTGTGATTTAATAGTGGAACTTGACACTATTCAGAAAAGCATTGATTTGAAGGCAACCTCTTCTACTATACAGCTTAAGCAGTGGTCCAATCAGTTGTTCCATATCTCACTCCACTTATCTTTGAACTAGAAATGCCCTTAAGACTAGGTAAACATAAAGTACAAATGTTTTCATAAACCAAATGTGAATTAAAACCATTAACTCTACTAAAGGCCAATTAATTGCATTCATGGAAAAAAATTAAGATTGTGTTCAGCTTACAGGTGAAGAAAATGAACTATAAAGAGACTAATAAGCAATATTATTCTTCTGGCAGGTGTTCAGTATAGGATTTCTGCCACATTCTCAATGTGTCCTTTCATCATCATATTCATTTAGAAAATAAAAAGGACATTGTTTCTACTGGGGAAATGCTTATGTTAATTATTAAGAACAGATAATACCACTAGTAACTGCAATCATGATTTAGAAAATACATTGACACCTGAGTATGCTTTCATAGCACTGGTGGTATATGACCACTGTTTGCTATGAACATACATGCTATAATTATTTTCTGGCATTCATTACACATCACAAAACCAAGACATAAATTCTTCAAGAGCAATTTACCCTTGCTTGCAGCTGTTCCATTTGTCCAACCATCTGAAGTTTCTGTTAGAAACAAAGTGTACATTAAAAATCTCAAAACTTTTATCTTCATGAATAAATCATGGATATTAAATATAATGGGTTTACCTTACTGATGCTTTCAGAAGATTCCTTCAGAAAAATAAAAAAAATAATTAATTTTTACTGAGTAAATAGTATTTTCAATGGGTATTAAAATTAAGGTATCTGGTAAGCTATTTTAATAGGTTACTAATAGGAAAATTGATGAAATCTTATATTTAAACTATCTAAAACATTTTGTATAAGCCTATTGTATACAAGAAAGATGAGTGTCATCAAGAGAGAAAAGTGAATGAGTGAGCACAGTATATAAAGAGACATCTAAGCAATGTTAATTCCCTTTACAACCATAGTTCTTTCTCTGGCTACAAATGATCTTTAAATCCCATTTAATTCTTAAAACCAAACACAGAAACAGAGTTGAAAATACAGTCTAATGACAGCTAAGAGTACTTATTATAGTACTTGCTAATATACTAGCCTCCAAATAAACTATGAGAAACAAACACTTCCTCTGAGCATTTGTAGAATTCTGAAAAGAAATGTATATAATTGTATTCACTAATAAACAAATGATAACACATACAAATAAATAGTTCAAGGTAAAGACTGAGTGTATCTATTTGATACACTCAGGTACATTTAGGACTATATTGCATCTTACTTTTTTATTTACCTAATGACAACTTTAATAACCAAATGCATCCTTTTGCAAACAGGCCTACCCAGTATAGCACATGTATGTATTTCTATTGGTATCTGTCTTTAGTTTGGACTGTAGCTACTAGCCAATGAGCAATCCATAAAAAGCACATAGTAATAATAAAAATGCATGTCAAATTAGGGAGAGCTCTTGGCAGAGAATACGATTGTGAGCTTCTCAAATAAAAAGGTGTAGAAGAGGCAGTTAAAAATTTCAAATAAGAAACTAACTTGGAAAATTCTAATTATGCAGCTATCTAGATATTTTTCTTCCCAATACAATGCACAGCATATTTACCAAACAGGAATATGTTATAGTGTGGCTAACACAATGTAACTCAACAGAAAAGAAGCACTTTGGTGTTCTAAGTCTACAAGTTGCCTCTGAGACAGAATTGCTTTCCCTCACTGCTGGAAATGCTCTCAGTATGCAAAAACATTAGTAATACAAATGTGTTAATTTATAGATCCAATTAGGACTTCCAGATCATTAAAAATATAGTTATTTTAGGATTAAAATTTTTTCTCAATAAAACCTCTTACCTCAGAGGATATGCTGAGTGATTCCTTTTGTAAAAAGAAATAAAAGTACTTATTAGTGACAAAATCTACCTTGCTACTAAATATCCTTCCTATTTCATTTTTATGTCATCTACCTCTTTCAGAAACTTAAAAACCAAAAAAGTTATAAGCCTTTTAGAATCTTGAAAACACATTTACTCTCTCTAATAATTTAATAATTTTTATTGGCACATTCCTACATTGGATGAACTTGGGGAATTTTTGATGAGTGAGGAAAAAAGAAGTTACTTTAATTTCTACTAGGCATTTTTTTATTATGCCTACAAGTCTACCACAATTCTTGAATATGTTCCTTCCTCTGAATTTCCCTTTGGGCAGACACAGTAAGACTTGACCTGATTATCAAAGAAATGCATGCACTTTATCACCAGAATGAGATACTGAAGCCACGTGTGTGAGTCTACTTCTGTGGAGTTATATTTACTTGATGTATTTCTATTTTCTTGTTTTACTTCTTGTCTGTTTTACTTTTCATTTGGAACTGGTGGTCCAATAACACAATAAGCATTTGTTCCAGTTTTGAGAGCCTATAGGAACTTTGGGACAACAAAACTTTGTGACTCTCAAAGAAGCATTGATTAAATAAACAGATCTGAAGCTCTCCATTAATTACACACTGAGCCATCACTACTGTTACTGTCTACAAGTGAGAGGACCGTTCACTACATCTTAATTACATAGGAAGCTTCTTTACCCACCTCACTAGCAAGAGCAAGTGCCACAAGGCAGGAAAGTATGAAGACCTTCATGGCTGTCAGGTCCTGTGAATGAAAAGATGAACGAGTTGTAAGGGATGAGTCAATTAAAATCTACTCTGGCTCCTAAATATCCTATGTCTAACATCAAATTCAGACTTCAGCAGCTACCAGCAGTATTTTCTGCTCACAGCTCTCTTCCTTTCTTCTTTGTTAGCACTCTATTGTTAATGGGAGTATGGGCGCCTTACAAAACTATGAAGAAGTCATGACTATGGAACCCTTTTAATGAAAAAACTATTCAGCATTTCCAGATTATGAAGACATCAGCACTAGGGAGCCTCACTTCTAGAGTGAAATAATAGACTGTGCATAAACTGTTGTGTTGCTGGTGAGTGATCTCAGCATGAAAAATAAAAATTTAGATATGTTTACAAAGCATTCTTTCCAATACTTGACGGTGGAAAATTATTCCATTAGTAAACAGCTGGTTTGGGTTTTTTGGATGGATGCTGCATAATTCATTAAGAACCTTTCCTTGTCTAAAGACTCCTCCATGGGTTTCCATATAATTTAATTGTCTTAGTTTAAAAGAAATTTGTACCCTTGTAGATTATGCATGTAGGGAGAATCCCACTGCAATTCTTATATTTTATCCTTACCATTTTATGTATCCATCTTTAAACTGGAACTTTGTTTTTACCTGGCACACTATAAGCCACTTTTCTTTCAACTCATCTTATTTCCATAATCATGGTTTCAAAGTAATATCTAATCTTCCTACAATTATTTTACAAACAGAAGACTTTGTCTCTATTTTTACAATTGTTAATATCTCACATGTAAAACATTATGAGCTAGATCAAGAATTCCAAGACTCTGGACAAGTTTTACGGTTGTAATCTTCTTGTGTACAAAACATGTAATTTGTTGCTTCTAATTGTTGCCCAAGAAATATCAATCTTTCCATGATATAATTTGAGTACATTTTATTACTAAAGAACAGCAAATCAAATAAGATAGCTTATTAAAGAAGTCAATCCTTAGTCTCTTCTTTATACCATTCACTGGCCTTGTATTTATTGTTACATGTTCTTGTTTTCATAAAGCCAATAGCCATTGTAATTTTTACCAAATCTTTCTAGACATTTCTATATTTTAAGCCTTGCTTTTAAAATAATCTCATTACTTCTTAAATATCTAATTTCAAAAAACTGTAATTATATTATTTCCATTATTTCTAGTCTAATTTAGTTCTAAATAAATTATGAAAATAATATGTCAAAACATGTCTGAAATTCTTACCTTTCGTGGAGGACAAGAGTGAATGTGAAGCTGGGAGGATGATGGTCTGTCTGCTTCTGAGACTGTATATATACTGTATTTAAGGACATGCTAATTTTGTGGTTTGTAAGATATTGAGAAGTTCCTCCAATTCCAAGAAATTCACATGATGAGAAAATGGTTTCTTTCTATTGTCTGTCCCAAGAAATTCTGGGGTACATTGAACAAGGCAGCAATTCAGAAGCTGGTGTAGGAAACTCATCCAGGAAATCCAATTGTCCAATATCTTAAAATAACTGACTAGCCCTCCAGCCTAAAACACAGGTGCTGTGGACTCGGTTCTCTTGGCATTCTAGTGGGGGCTTTAACCTCAATTGTGGGCAATTATATGGAGACCTTGGAGGTACACAAAGCTTTCCAGAGGTCAGGACTTCATCCTAACCTGAGCATTAAGAACTCAATGATTATATGATAGCGCTAGTCATGTGCAACGATCACTCACATTCACCTGACTTGGGAAAAATAAATACTTCAATATTTACTACACAAAGGGATGTATTTTATACAACAATAGAACAAATCAGAGAAGGAATCTGTAAAACTTGTATAGAAAATAAAACTATGAATCTATAGCAAAAAGTTTGCACAAAGGCCTGAGGATAAGCCCAAGTATATAAAGCCTCGGTTTTCTACAGCCAACACCAGTAAATATGTTACCTTTTCTGCCTCCTCTCTCTCTCTCTCTCTCTCTCTCTCTCTCTCTCTCTCTCTTTCTCCTCCTCCTCCTCCTTCCATTCTGATTTTTTCTTAAAGATGTCATAGAGATTTATTTATTTAATAACCAGTTATCTTTTTCTACTTCAGTTATAATAACCATAGTAGTGATTACAGACTTTTTACTTAATGCTAAGTGTATATAAACCACTAAATACATTAAAATTATTATCTTTTTTAAATAAAACAATTTGAAGTTATTCCTTTCTCTCATTTAACAGTTAAGAATGGAACACAGCAGTGGTCAAGTAACTTATTCAGTCACGTTATATTTAATAGTAAAGTTATCATACCCACTTCACATCTATCTCAAAAGTGATTTTATTTGGTCACGTGTTAAGTCCCACAGGCAGTACTTTAACTCTTTTGAGATTTTGTTGTGAAAAATCCCTCAATTTTAAATGTAGCATTTTGTTTCAATGTATTGAATTTAATTTGTCTAATACAGAAATGATATATATTTGCTGAATGTAGAAAGATAAGTTTATGATTTTGCTACTTTAGCAATGTCATAAAGCATAAGTAGAATTTTGAAATATCAATCCATGGTAAAATATGGCAACCTTGAGGACCCATAAAGTGTAGACAGTACAAGGTATTGCGGCAGGTGTTTGATAGAAGCAAGTCACAAATGCTTGTGAATTTCAGATATTTTATTGATATGATTCATTGGAAACATGAAATGATATTGAAGATTTAAAATAAAGAAGTATTATAAAATGGTTTGGATTTGAAACATTATGCAATACAAACCTGGCAATAAGTTAAAAGATGTAATTATACAAAATTATTAATTTACTCTAAAATGGATATTTAATGACTCTAAATAGGTAAATGGTACTAAGGGACTTGAATTATGGAAAGAAAGATGTCATTAAAATGGGAAGTAGGAGAAACTAAAGAAATAAATAGGCTATGTCTGTATGGTGATTGACATATCAGCTGTTACAGATCAAGATATGAAAACAAGCTGAAATTAGATAGGGAATTGTGAGCTAATTGTGAAACTGGAAGGGAGACAATTTGGGAAAAGGAAGCTAACAAGAAGGGTGTGACAAGAGAGGGATATAGAAATCAATATGACCAAGATACATGGTATAATGGAATGTTAGTGTCAGTGAAACCCAATCAGTTTCTCTAATGAATGCATGGAGATGCTATTTTTTTGTTTTTGGTTTTTTGAGACAGGGTTTCTCTGTGTAGCTTTGGAGCCTATCCTGGCACTCGCTCTGGAGACCAGGCTGGCCTCGAACTCACAGAGATCCGCCTGCCTCTGCCTTCCAGGTGCTGGGATTAAAGGCATGTACCACCAACGCCCGGCTGGAGATGCTATTTTAATGAGCTTGTTTTACTGAGAAATTTAGAAGAGGATAAAAGATCCATAAGAAGGTTACCATATAATCAAGATAACCAGAATCATAGCAAGGTGTTGGGCACAGGAAAGAACTATAGGTTAAGAGAAAGAGACCAGTGGAGGGATCAAAGGTGGTGACACACCAAAGAGTGACAATAAATTCATGGGTTTCATTGGCTTGAAGTCACATTCAAAAGATGAAAGCCTATTAGAAAAAACATAGCAGCTTTCCTAAGAGAGGACTGAAAGAGACGATTAAAGAATACGATATGTATATTAAGATATAAAGTCTAGAAGTTAACGTTGTGTGGTCATCCTTTCCTTACTATTTTGAATATGAACAAGTCAACAAAAATTTAAGAATTTCAACATTAGAGTAAAAACAGTATCTGAATAATGACTAGACTGTAAAAATAGTCTTGCATGAACAATGCATGCAGCAAAATAGTTGTCAATGGAAGGAGGGACTTTCCAGATTAAATACATTTTCCCAGGTGTTTCAATAGTAGCCCATACGCAGCAATAAAGAAATGCTAAACAGTTCAAACACACTCTTCGTAGGAAAGCAGGCAGGAAAACCAACTTGTGCAGAGTAATGTGCATCTTAACAAGGCTGTGATACAGTGCAACAGTCAGGGAAGGGAGAATTGGTTAACTTCAGATGATGGTTAAGAAAGAGGAAAAGAGAGAAGACACACAGAGTAATGAGTTCTGGGCAAAGAAAAAAAAGGAGCTAAATCTAGAGGGATGACAGGTCTTTGCAGGACTACCATAGCAGAAGCTGAAGGAGATCTCAAAATACTTTGTTTGCAAAGACTTACAAATGTCAGGTCCCAAATTTCATTGCCTACTTAATGACGAATATTCATAAAAGCATTTAGCTGTTTGTGTTTGATACTGGTCATTTTAAAATATTACTTTCTATTATTCTCTGTCTGTAAAAGACAATTTCTCTTTTCAAATAAAAAACTTTACCATCTTTTTTTTTTTTCTGAACAGATATGACATTGACATCACACTAAATTTATGTGAGAGAGTGACTCTTCTGATCGTCAAATCTGTGTTATAGTACTTGAGAAACCAAAGTCAACACCTATTATATTTTGTTGTTGTTTGTTTGTTGTTTTCAGTTGATATTCACACTAAAACTCTGAGCATTTTAAGACAAGGAGAATCTAGGAAATAAAATGTTGAAATTCTTCCAATGTCTTAAGCCATCTTATGAAACACTTTGGCTGCCCCGTGCATCCTGTGCTAGCTTCCCAGACTGGCAACACCATAGGCAACACTATGATTTCTAAGAAAACTAATACACAGTAAGCATTCATTTATGCAACATTTCCTTTTAGTTTTCTCAGGAAAGTGCTTTACATCTTGTGCAATGGCTACAGCATTTCCTTGGGACTCTGTCACCAACTTTTAATATTTTAATCAATATACTGACTGGTTAGTCTGAGACAGAAAATTAAAATGACCATCAAGAAAAGCACAAGTAATAAACTAAAGCAAGAAAATTTTCCAGTGAAAAGTAAAAAGCTAAAAGCCTTAAATAAACCAGAGGTTTGTAGTAAGGAAAGCTTTAGACAGCAACTGTGTAAGAAGCAATGCACAGCAACCCAGTCTTGCTATAGTTTACACACAG